AAATAAGTTATAAAAAGAGGTAGTGGGTGGGAGAGTAGTGGCTTACTTTTCAAATCTCTGATCAGTTTAATTGGTAATAAATAACAAGGAGGAAAAACTCCACACTTAAAATTATTTAACCTGGAGTGAAAATTAATGACATGTAACTCAGACAATCTTGAATTTATATTCAATTCTTCTGTTTAATAGCTAGGTGACTTTGGGGAATGTTCTTTGAACCTTTGAAGCAGAGTTTCGTCCCTTACAGAAAGGGAAGAATATTCCCTTAGGATTGCTATCAAGCTTCTATGAAATAACACATATCAAGCACAGGAACTGAAAAGATGCACACCCCTCTTGTGCCCACCTACCCCTCCAGGGTTTTGGAAGATTATTGTGTCCATTCATTCATTTTTTTAAGCATGAAACATTAATGATGAAAGCAATGCTCAGTATAGTGTAATAAGTCTCAATACATGTGTTGACCAAATGAAGGGATTCATGAGAGAATGAGTATCAGGTTAGGGACACAGAAATATTAAAAAGTCATGTACTCAGCCCTTAAATAATGTTAAAAAGTGCACAAGAGTACAGGGATAGTTTACAATATAGTGAAATGTCATGTACTGAAGAAATAAAAAGATTCCCAGTCCTATGTCCAAAGACAGATTTATGTGTCGTTCAATTTGTAAGTGCTATTATATAGAAACTAAGACTAGTGCTAAGGAGGTGGGGAGAAATAGAAAAAAAAAAAATAACCAAATGATAGAGACAGGCAAGACTTCACAAAGGAAAGAAAATCTGAACAGGCAAAGAGAGGAAAAAGACATTTTTGGCAGAGAAATAAAAGAGGAGTTGATCTGTAAAATGTGCCAAAGCATTCTGGGAAACCTTCAATACCTTTGTACTGTTCTAAATTCTGTAAATATTACACAAATTCTTAAAGAAAAACTTGTTAAAAAATGTACTGAGTGAATCATTCCACTGACTGTAATAAGGTACTAATTATCAATTTTTTCTAATTTATCTTATAAAATATAATTCTTATATAAAACTGTACTCAGTAGTCTAAGACTAATACAGTGCCATACCAATTTTACATATTTTGCCCTTGGTCAGTTTTGATGAAAGAGTAAAAACACCACTCCTTTTCTATTCCTCATCTCTTGAGACTAGCAGCCAATTCCACTTTATAATACATCTAAGGCATTCAGAAGTCAAAATGTGTGGCATGTTCCATCTTTCCAAGTATATGTTAAGTCAATGGCTTACTACCAGGCCAAGAAACCCAAAATTAGACAAAGGCAATCCACAGAGATCAGAAATTTGCCAAATCTCACAATTTAGAAAGAAACTGTTAAAGATGGTTGTGGGTTTTTGGCACTGTGGGTTTAAGCCATTCCATAATAGGGTTTGTATTTCATCTAATCAGCAAGTCGGAAACTATAAAAGTCTTGGTTGGGGGGGTGGGATTAAAATTTTGGATTGTAGAATACGAGTCTTTCCTTCCCTTCCATATGGTTGAGTGAATGAAAACTTTTAAATCTTTTTTAAAAATTCCTCTGAAAAGAATAAAGCAGCCTTTAAAATCATATTTTTTGCTATAGAAACTTAAAAATTTCAGGCTTGAAAATTTCAAAAAAGGTCACATGGTTTCTATATCCAGCGTCATGGTCTAAGCATATTCAGAACGATGTACATTTAAACTAAAATATTTTTTCTTTTCCAAATTTTTTTAGGGGTGAATCTGGCATCTGAAGCTTCTACAGATTTTTTTTAAGGTGGTCATTTGTCAAACTAATTTAAGTACATAAATTCTATATTTACACAGAGCTGTGTGAACTATCATTCTATCAGGATAACAACTGGACACGGTTTTCATAGGGTAGAACAATTTTTTCCAAGTAATTAAACTAGATGTATTATGGTGCTGTAAATAGCAGAAATAGTAACTGTACCCTTCAATTCTTAGGACATTCTTCTTCCTCTTCCTCTGTTCTTTCTCTATATTTTGGACCCCATATTGATTTCTTTTACAACCTCTTCTTTCAGTTTTTTTTTATCTTCTCTTTTTGTTTGCATATGGAAGAGGGAAAGATTTCTTCATTTTCATTCTTCTATATGCCAAATGAAAGTCATTTTGCTATTGTATTTTTTAGTTTCTAAAAGCTTTTTCTTGTTTTTCCTCAGTATTTTATGGTAACCTGCTTCATAATATGCTATATGTTTTCATCTTTTTCAAATAATTTTATTCTTTCAAAGATTTCTTCTGTTTCCTGAGGTTTCCTTCTCTAATGATTTGTTCCAGTCGGGCTCGGTGGCTCAGCCTGTAATCCCGCACTTTGGGAGGCTGAAGTGAGTGGATTGTTTGAGCCCGTGGGTTCAAGACCTGCCTGGGCAACTTGGCGAGACCTCATCTCTATAATAAATCAAAAATTAGCTGGACGTTGTAGTGTGCGTCTGTAGTTTCAGCTACTTGGAAGGCTGAGGCGGAAGGATCGCCGGAGTCCAGCAGGTCGAGGTTGCAGTGGCCAGGAGTGTGCCACTGCACTCCAGTCTGGATGACAGAGTGAGACTCCAACTCAAATAATAATAATAATAATAATAATAATAATAATAATAATAATAACAACAACTTGTTTCAGTTCCAATCTTTTACATTTGAGGCTTTCCTGAGAGGATGGATGGCCCTTAGTTGCCCATTGATATTTAAAAAGGAGTTCGCTAGTAAAAGCTGAATCAAGTTCCCAAGGAATAGATGGGTTTTACAAATAAGATAAATTCACTCTTGTGTGTCTGATTAGGAAGCCAGTCACTTACAGGGGATCTCCAAATTTAGGCACATGAACATTTTTTCAGTGCTTTAGTTTCTTTAGATAAAAATTCAACAATTTTTTGGGAGGGAAGGTGTGAGAGAAAAGGGAAAAATCCAGTGTTACTAATTTGCATGGGGCACAGGAGGGGTATTAAGAATCTGAGTATCCATGGGAGGATCTTCAATTAATCCTCTTTTCACTCACCTCTTCTTTCCACCTTCAACTGTGCTAGTCATTCCCAAGTCCTGTACCTTTCTTATTTACTTGCTTGACACTCTGAGCTCTTTCCCCTGCCGTAGAGGTAGGTACCCAGTTGCTGGCATTTGTGTGCACAGGAGAGAAACCTGACTGCACCACTCATTGGCCACAACTGATTACTCTACTTTCACCCTTTTCTGTGCTAGCTGCCTCCGTGTCATTTGTCTTTTCAGGTTTCTTTGGTGTAAGTCAGATTTCTCTTATTTGTTATCCCATAGTCATTTCCTAGGCTCTGACAAACCAGTTATACTGCCGACAGTTTTCTGACTTCCAAAAATCAGTTGGCAAGTCTTACCCACTAAAGACTCCCTTCTCATTCTAGCTGTTTCTGTTTATTCTCCCTCAATAGTTTACACGTTGAAAGTTTAGTCTAATTTACCCACATGATCACTCATTTCTTTGCCCACCAGTCTTTTTGCACCTCCCTCCATCATTCCTTCTGAATTTGGGTTCTTTTGAAGAACATATTTGATAAGTTCTCCAGTAAGAGTTTTTATTGAACTTACTGAATTTGATTTCTTGATCTAGGGATTGCCTAATCATTAGGTAAATTCAACACAAAGCTTGGTAAAGGGAGGGAATAACACCATATTCTCAGCACAGACTTCATTTATTCTCCTTTCAGATCTCATTTTGAGACAGGCAAACATTCTTCTTAAATAAGTAGACACTTATGTTATCATTTCATTGAGGATATGAATGTCCCTGCTTTATTTAGCCATCTCATTGGACTTCTATTGGCCCCCTCTGTCTTCTATTCTGGAAAGAATAAAAGCCCCTTTCACTGTTTTTCACAACTAGTAAATGATCCTAAATGAGCTGCAGGTCCAGCCTACTGTTTCCTTTTCTGGTATTCAGTTACCACTTCATTTCTAGCTTCTGAGAAACTATCTTACTACATTTTGAACCCAGCTAAGCATTGTCAGCATATCTGATATATTTTATTAAGCATGTCTAGGTATTTTTAGTGGCATGTTTTCTGGTTACCTAGTCTACCTATATGACTTGTTTAAGAGCATTTTAGTGGTGTCTTAGAATGGTTACATGACAAGTTTAATTGTTTAATTTACCATCTTCTATGGGAAAAAAATGTTATTATTTTTAAATTACACTATTATACTTTTCTATGAGTTCGCTTAGGATTCATCTTCCTAACTATTGGTTCTATGTTTTCCTAGTATTCATTTATTTTATTAATATTAGAGACAGATTAAGTCATATAACTAAAATAACGCAGATACTAGATTCAGACTAAGATTGAAGTCTAGTTCTACCAGTTATTAGCTATGTGAGCTCAGAAAACTTACTTAGTTTTTTAAAACTGTTTCATATTATGCAGAATAAAGATGCTAATATTACCTTGAAATACATGAAATTATCATTTTTGTGGGTCACACTGTTAGAATATGAGCAATTTCTTATGCTCCACACATCACTTTCATGGAGCAGTGGTCTCTAGAGTGCTTGCCACATAGTAGGTGGCCAAATTATGGCTTCATTTCACTTCTCTTACTGAATATTTTTAATTCGAAGAAATCCTAGCACATACAAAGTTTTATATGGTGCTGGCTAATTGAAAGAATCAGATATAGTTCTAATTACAGCCAATATGAGGCTACCATTGATTTGTAACATAATATTTATGCAAACATTGCTTGCTATTAGGACAAGCTCATAATGTAATTACATATTTGATGTTCTCCATTTATCTTTTTGCCATCAAGTTACATCAAGGATCATGACATCTTACATCTTACTTAGGTAAAATCCCACAGAAAAGTTATATATTGTTCTATATTTTCTGTACAGGGTTGTAACTTAGCACTACCGTCATGACATTTTAACAGCCCTAGTTAACTGGCTGAGAAACAGTGTCTCAACTCCCATATATTTCAGGATGCATGGAGAAAAGACAAATTCTCAAGAAGGAAGAAGTTGGTTACTCACCGTTAGAGCTAGCAATTTCCCATAAGTGAGATGAGCAGGAATGTGGTCAGTCTTTGATCTCAATGATTCCATGTACCAGTGCTCTGCTTCAGAGAGTTTGCTGAGTCGCATGTATGCTTCACCTGGAAAGGCAATCCCGAAGGTCAAATTGAGGATATGGCTCTCCAACAACCTTTTTAACATCATCATCATTACCATCACCATCATCAGATTTACGTTCCATGGAATTTCAGATGCTGTGTGAAATACTTTCATTCCTTTTCTCTTTCCATTATCAAAGAAGTCATCATGATTTCTATTTTATAAATGAAAAATGTTGTGTTTGGAAAATCAAGTCAAATGCTTAAAATCTAGAGTATTATAAAATCAAAAATTTTATAACCTTGTTGAGAAAGATCAATTGAAAGAGTTAAAAATATTTTAGGATTAGCAGAGGTGAGAGGATTGCTTTAGCCCATAAGTTCAAGACCAGCCTGAGCAACACAGTGAGACCTCATTTCTAAAAAAAAAAAAAGTTAGCCAGTTGTAGTGGCATACACCTATAGTTCCAGATACTTGGGAGGCTGAGCTAGCAGGTGGAAGGATTGCCTGAGACCAAGAGGTCGAGGCTGCAATGAGCCATGATAGTACCACTGAACTCCAGCCTGGACAACACAGTGAGACCTTGGTTTAAAAAAAAAAAATTTTTTTTTCATTCAACACTGCTGCTAATTTCTTCAAAAAACATTTAAATTTTTTATGTTGATAAGTAAATACAATTTACTAGCTTCATTTAGAGAATCCAAAGAATACACAACAATCATCAAGCATGCCCAGCACTAGATACACCACCAGTCTGAGGCCTTTTAGCCATCAGTCCTTACTTTGAAATTATGTGAATTTTATGTGCCAAATAGCATTCCACTGATAGCCAAGCAGGAGAAAAAGTTGGAAATAAAACCCGAAGTTTATCACTTTCCTGTGTATTATTATTCCTTTCTCCCCTGTATGATTATAATGTGAAAGAATATTCAACTGATGCAAAAATTATATCTTAAGATAATCTGTGTATTTCAGTTAAATATTGTAGTTTCAATAAGCACTGCAATAGTAGACACTACTAGTTTCTTAGACTTGTCAACAGACTGGTAATTTGCATTATTTTCCAGACCTTTATAGCATAAGTAAACATAATCATAATGGCATTTTCCTTTAGAGACTTTTCCTAAATGTACTGTCCACATTGGCTGTATAGTTGTGCTTTGATGGAAGAACTTACTCCCATTTGTTTCAATCATATTCACCTTGTATTAACACAGTACTGTCAATACAAACATGTTTGATAAACTGAATTGCCCTGAGTCTCCTGAACTTTTGAATACCCTTTTGTTTGGCTGGTAAGTTTTAAAAAAATGGTGACAAAACATATGTAATATGAACAAAATATATCTACCCACTCACATATCTAGGCATTTCTAGTTCTATAAGTCCTTAAAGTATGCTATCATAAAAAAGGACAGTTGGAAGATTTTTTTTCCCTCAAAGTTAAAAACAAGTTTACATTTACAGAAAACTGGATACCATATGTTCTCCCTAATAATGGGAGCTAAATACTATATGAACACAGGCACAATGATGGGAACAACAGACACTGGGACACTATGAGCAAAAGGGGGTTAAGGTTTCAAAACTACCCACTGGGTACCATGTCCACCATCTGGGTGATCGACTCATGAAAAGTTCAAACCTCATCATCATACAATATTCTTATGTAACAAACCTGCACATGTATCCCTTGAATCAAAAAACAATAAATGTTTTAAAAGCTTGCATTTAAGGAGTTGGTGAGATTAAGTCACATGGCTAAGGTAAGATGCAAGAAATACTAAAGTAAAAGCCAGAGACTACAACGGAATACACAGAAAATCTTGTCGTTGTCACAATGGTAGGCTACGATGCCCTAATCTGCATCCTAATTTTTTTTTAATATCCATAAACTTCTGCAATAACTTTATTGTTTCTATTTTAATACCTCTATAAAAACTGACACACTGTCAGATGAATTTTTTGCCATGTTGAACAAATGGTACCAAATAAAGTGAATAATAATTTTTCTCAGGAAAAGTTCACTACTTCATACTAAAACACTATTAGATATGACTTACATAACAGAAAATACGCATAGACCCTAAAGTATTGAAAATTTAAAAGCAATTAATGATAAATTATATCCAAATATTTATCTCTAAAATTGATTAGAAAGCCAGATAGCAGATAGGCAAGAACTATGGGCTCCATTTAGAATCTTCATGTGTTCATAGATCAATTTTAAAAGTTGTACATGCCGGGTTGGGTGGCTCAGCCTGTAATCCCGCGCCTTTGGGAGGCTGAAGTGAATGAATTGCCTGAGCCTGCGGGTTCGAGACCCGCCTGGGGAGTGAGACCTCATCTCTACGATAAATCAAAAAATCAGCCGGGCATGGTAGTGCATGCCTGTAATTCCGGCTACTTGGAAGGCTGAGGCAGAAGGATCACTGGAGCCCAGCAGGCGAGGCTGTGGTGGCCGGGAGCGGCCACTGCACTCCAGTGTGGGCGACAGAGTGAGACTCCAACTCAAAAAAAAATAAAAATAAAAATAAAAATAAAATAAAATAAAAGTTGTACAACCATTACAGTTAGCATAACTTTCATTTTTTTGTACAAAACTTAAGTAATTTTCAGAAAATAACAGTAGGTATTCTGTACAGAAAAATAATATGAAAGAACCCCAATTCCAGAAATTTTTTGAAATTAAAATATTTATATTGAAGTGATCAGTGTCTCAAAATTATTTAGAAAGTATACTTCTGCTTTTTGCAATTCAGAAATCTATCATTATTAAAATCTATTTTAAAGCAAAATATTATTAATTTGATAAATAATGACTAGCCCATTTGCCTCAGTTAGAACTCATAAGTAACTTATTAACTTGCAGAGCTTGTGAGATAGAGAAATATTGAAGAACTATAAATAAGTAATATAATGTAATCATGTATCTTCGCAAGTATATGAAAACTGACAAATAACTAGACTACTTTGATACTATTCATTACATCTTAGAAAAAACTTCATGTAGCCAATCGCTGTACTTCAATGACAATGATGATAATGATAATAATTCATTGAGTGTTTACTATGAATTAGGGTAGCAAGTTGCAGGCAGCAAACATCTGACCTATGGACACCCACTCCCTCTTACTCTGTACATTTGGGCATATAGAATTTTTTCTCACTTTCACAAGGAGTCTTAACACAATATTCCATTCAATCACTACCAACTGCTCATAGTAGGGTTGCAGGATGAATTTTTTTTTTCAATTTCTATATATTAGCTGCTTTACAAATGTATCTCATTGCTTGTTAAGGAATGTCACTACCTGGATTTTACAGATGAAAAAATTGAGAAGCAGAGGAGTTAAATTACACACTCAAACCCAAAATGTATAAAGTGGTAAAGCTGCAATTTAAACCCAAAACTAGCTAACCTCAACACATTGCCTTTACCAACTGGTAGAGAAAAATCATAAACTTCTAACTCTCCAACTAGGGTGAGAATTATATTCTCTCTCTCTCTCTCTCTCTCTCTCTCTCTCTCATAGAAAGTTATTTTCCAGCTTGTGATGCATCAGTGAGCAGGTTCACTTCACTTTGCCTTGGGTTTATCTGTTGAATTATAAGAATGAGGAAGAGCAATGATAATCCATGACTGACCTTTAAAAGCGCTTCCAACTCATATGTAATTCAATTCTTAAGAGAGAAATACTGACCCAGAAGATGCATTTTACTTCTAAGGTTAACCTTAACACAAAAAAAGGATCTATAAAGTGGTAATAAAATCAAGATGCAAAACCTGAGGTGCAAGAAAATGATTATGGATAAATTTAAAGATGTTGAAAAGGCAACTCAATAAATATTTAAGCAACAAACAATACAAAAGGACAAGCACTTGCTGTTATCCCTGGCACTGGCAAGGTAAAAGCTTAACATTTCTCATTTCTAATCCACTTTAGGGGTTCGAATATTCATCTTATAAATGAAGAAGGCAGCTCAGGAATCATAATGACTTCCCTAAGGCCAGTTAATAATCCCACCCTAAAAGGACTAAATGCCTCCAAAGTCATGATTTTTTCCATTGCATCAAGTTGGCTGCCATATTAAGTTTATCATTTATTGATTACCTACTAACATCTCAAATATACTATATTACGTTTACCTTATCCCTACAGTGTAGTTAATATCAGTCTCATTTTACAAATGAAGTGTCTGTGCAGTAGATACTTTGGAAAATACTAATAAATATTGACCATAACCAACCAATGTTGAGCTTAACCAACTCACTCAAGGTCAAAAACAATGCAAATGTCAAATTCAGGATTCAGATTTTTTTTGTGTGTGTGGCTCTTTGCACTATACCATTCTACCTAAATATTATCCCAAATAATTAGTGAGGGGATAAAATAACTGCAAAAAAGTGCTATCAATGGATTTCATTTTAGGAGAGAGTGGTATATGTGTAATCCTTTAAGCTTGGTTAAAGTAATAAAATTAAAAAAAAGTCATAAAGGAAATGGCCACAGGAAAAGAAAGCTCAGTAAATTCAATAAGGAAGGAAATAAAGATTCTTCGTAGGGAATAAGGATGGGGGGGATTGAGGGTTAAGTCATTTTCTCTAGTACTGTAATTTTTCTTAACTTACAATAATACAAAAAAATGTGCATGGTGCCCAGGAGGAAAGAAGCAATGATGACTATTTTCCCTTTTCATCCTGAAAAAAAAATGACATAATAAAGGCACTTTCATAAGAATGAGAAGATTTCCTGTGCGATGATGTAGTGATCAGGTTCATCACCCAGATTTATTTCCGATTCACTTGCAGACAAAAGGGATTTGGATGTTTTTAGGCTGGCTTCAGGCAGATATAAACCACTTTCAGATGTAGAACAAATGTCACTCTACCTCCCTAAAAAGCCTCAGGTCTAAATAAGCCAGGCAAAGGCTAACTCCTTAAGGAAAGAATGTTGGGTTATTGATGATGTAATGGTCTAGATCTCACCGATTCTTATGGTTCAAATTATTGAACATCTCCTGGTCGTAGGTAAAGAAT